GGGGGGGGAGTCCTAACTCACTGAAAATGAAGTCTTCTTCCACATCTCTTGATACCACACAAAAAGGGAATGGGAACTAAAATCCTGAACCATTCCAGTTCATTCTCTTCCATTTGTCAAAATCTGATGTACAGTGAGGACTATTAAAAATCATTGATCCCCCCCAGCCGGCGTGGCTCAGAGGTTGAACACTGACCTATGATCCAGGAGATCGTGGTTCAATTCCTGGTCAGGGCACATGCCCGGGGTTGCAGGCTCCAATCCCCAGTAGGGGACCATGCAGGAGGCAGCCAATTAATGACTCTCTCATCATTGATGTTTCTCTCTCTCTCTCCCTCTCCCTTCCTCTCTCTGAAATCAATAAAAGACATATTAAAAAATAAATAAATCATTGGTCCCTAGTGCCTTGCTTCACAAAAAAAGCAATTTTTGTTAACAAATTCATTTTAACAAATTCAAACTGAATTTACTATAGCATGTGAACTAATACAGAAATATATTAGATGAGGAAGAGACAATGGTAACAATGAAAGAAATTCAGGAAATTTACTTAAGTTGCTTTGCCTTACTAAACAGAAGAACAGTGTGTTTCAAAGAAAACTCTTCATTCATTTCTACTGTATTTGGCCATCAAATATCTGACTTAACTGAAAATCCTGACATGGCAGTTTGAAAACTTACCAATAGGTTCTATTCTACAAAACAGTTTGCCGTGGCTAGAATTTGAAACATTTCTCCACTTTCTGTGGTCCACACATACATAAGGTTCCAGAAGTACAGTACTAATAATATTGTTTAAATGTTTATACCACCATTCATACTACAATTTCTATGGGAAATGCATTTTGAATTTACTATTAGGTCATAGCTCCTCCTAACGGGAAAGAGGGTAGGGTTTCCCGCTATTGCTGCACTTTGGTGATGATGATAACAGTGACAGTGGCGACAATAGCTAACACTCACCTAGTCTTTGCTATGGGCAGACATGGATCTAAACACCTGACATATTTTAAACTCATTTAACCCTCACACTCATACACACACAAAAACCCTGTGAGATAGTTTTTCTCATTTTACAGTGAGGGGGAGAAAAGGTTAAGCAATGTACTCGACGCTGCACAGCCAATAAGTGTCAGGGTTGGAATTCAAAGAAAAGCAGTCTGGCTCCAGAGCCTATGCTCATAACCCTCATAACCACTCAGCAATGCCGCCCTCCTCTACCTTGATAAGGTGGCACTACCCAGGTGTTCTAAATTCCTCTTTTGGGGGGTAGAGTTGAGCAGGGCTCCTTGTTTTAACATGCATATAGGATTGCGCTGGGAATCTTGTTAAAAATGCAGATTCACGGGGTCTGGAGTGGTGCCTGAGGTTCCACAATTTTAACAAGCTCCTCCTGGGTCATCAATGATGACACGCTCCCAGTGCATAGAGCCCACGTGATTAAGTGCTGAAGATGTAGGATGTGAGCCTCTTGTTCCCCTACTGGCTGGCTTGTTATTGAGTAATTTATATATCTGTAAGCTGGAGACTGCTCATACCATAATCATTTCCCATCAAGTCCTAAATGGAACCTGCTTTTGGAACTGATGCACACCAAATATTGGTCTGCAGATAATTTCAGTAAATACTTAGTTTTTAGGAACTTAAAATGTATATATGAAAACCACAGGGATTGGCTGTAAAGGTTTGCTGTCAGGCACATTTTTAACACCATATATCACCAACTATACAAATACTAAAAGAGAGTAAATAAATGCCTGTTTATTGTTCATCAACTCAAATCACAGTAAATTAATAACTTTTGGTCTAAAGAAGGAGCTTTCACGTTAAAATTATGATTATTCACCCTCATGCTTCACTAGAACAGTGCTAAGGAGCTTGTGTTATTTCACTTTCAATGCTCTCTGGTGCATCAGTGATCTCCTAGGCAAAGGCAGACACTATATCTGATATCAACGGAGAGGGCAGACAGTGAGTACGCTCCACATTAACTTTAGCCAGTTCCTCATGGAAGTACACTGCTAATAACTGCCACATGTCTATTACAGACTCTAGATCTCCCTCCTTGCTCTAGTTTACCTCCTTCCTCCTGCCCTGAAGCAGACCCATTGTTGAAGTAGCTCTCCCATCACTTGCCTGTGATCTCAAATGCACAGCTGCATATTTTTTCTAGTTGTTAAATGGATGGGATCCCTTCCTAGTCCATTTTTTCCAGGCCGGTTACACAGTAAGGTCATTTCAGTTTGAGACGCACTCACTCAGCACCACTGCAAACAACAGAGTTACGCTATGATCGCTAAGCTTCCTTATTACACTAAAAAGAAAAGAGGATAGTCAGTTTCCAACCCAAATATCTGTAATCCCTGAACAACAGTGAAAGTCATTCTTCTTGAAGCTTGACCCAAAATCAAGTGTGGTCTCAGACTCCTAGGCCTACAGCCAGTGGCAACTTAACACATTATACAGTTGACCTTCAGGGAAAAGGGAAACCAGTGCTCTTGCTACTGGTGCCAGAAGAAAACCAACTAATCTTTAAGGCACAAAATAGACCATTCTTAAGGCAGGAAAAGAAATCATGAGGAAATGGAGTTAGAATGGAGGCATTTAGAGAAAAACGCAGAAATCACATTACCGAGTAGGGCTGGTGTTCCCATGGCTCTCAGTGCTCTTCTGTTGGGGAACATAGTGAATCGTCATTTTCTTTTTGGGTTTGAGCTCTTATTACCCAGTACAAAGGCAAAGATGTACCAGAAAGACACACTTTTAAAAAGGCTTAGAGACTTAACAAGACTTATCTTTGGTAATTTTACTTTGAGCCAGTGATAGGAATTTATAAGTTTATGTAGAAGAGTAAATAATCATGGAGGACCCTCTGTAATATGTCCTCAAGCACTTCCTGGGCCTGGATCAGGCAATGGGGAGGTAGTTCAAAATGAAAGGGTAAAAATGAAATAAAGGTCTATACATGGTTCTGCACTTCGGGTGGGGGAAGGTCAGTAGGAACATGCAGATGCAATAACAGAGAGGAACTCTGGGTAAAGAGGCGTGCTCGGTACCCAGGGCCACTGTCCCAGCTGTCCCATCTCACCTACTTATTCTCCATCTTAGTCGCACTCTTGAATTTAAAGTCCAGCAAACACTTAGAATTAATAATTTCATTTAAGTGGAAAAATCAAAGGGCTTGTTTACAAAATAGAGATTTTTTAATGCCAAAGAAAATGCATTTAAAAGAATTGAGCTATTCTTTAGCAAGTAACAAGTGCTAATATGTTTACCACCAGAAGTGATCTACAAAGACCAGCTTTATAATGTTGCCATTGTTTCCTTCAAACTTTTGAGCAACAAAAATATAGCTCAAATCACTAAAAACATATGTTTGACATATTTATAGCAGTGAGTTTACAAATCAATTCCTGTAATTTACTGTAACAAGTATCACCCACTGCCCAACTGGTTCAGCACAAATACATCAGAGATGGTTTCTTGTGTGTTTCACAAATGCTCTACGCAAGTCCTTGAGATCATACTTACAGCTTTAGCAAAAACACCCATGATTTCAGGAAACTGGTGTGTGAAAAGAGCTATCACTGCTGTAGAGGAACACAGTCCTGCTGTGAAATAGATGAAGAAAGGAAGCTCCTTTTTTGGGTAAACAGATACTTGATGAAAGGCTGCAAGGGAGAAAGGTAGAAGTGGGTTTTATTTCAGAATACACTATAAGCCAGGTTTAATATTTTCAAGCAAAGTCTATTTTTAAAAACTAAAATGGAAATTATTATTATTTTTTTAAAAAGAACAAGAAGTCTCTGGCTAAGCAAGGTAGAAAAAAGTTATCCATTATTTATTCCAGTGTCCACAGCGTATCTACTTAGCCAGATGGCTGTGCTGGTGACTGGGGAGGTTGGCGTCGTGGGAAAGAACATTAATTTTAAAGTCATGCTGAGGTGGTTTTGAAAAAGAGCTTTGTCACTTATTAGTTGTGTGATCTTGAGTAAGTTGCTAACCCCTCTCTTAGTTGCTATGGAGTTGTTATGATGAACATTGTAAGCCCTTAATAAATGTGAGTTTTTATCATTCTTGCTCTTGGGAGCTCAGAGACGAGTATAGAGATCAAGAGACAGACATGTGGTTGGAGACATCCCAAAACCATCAGTTACTAATTTACCCAGTTATTCTACATGTGGCATTTCATCAAGCAGTATAACAATTGGACTAGAATATAAAGCCCAAGGATTCTAAACATATGTGAAGTCCCTTATCTTATGTTATTACATTCATACATTTACTCAGATATTATTTTTCTACTAACTGGATATTTCATTACCAATAGTATTCAAGTAATTATATTTTATTTGAAATTTGAAAATGCTTCAATAACAATGCTGATATGAGCCTATGACAATGTTTGGCACACAGTAGGTGCTCAATAAATGTCTGTTGAACTGAAAGCTATTCTGGGACTTCATTAGTCCAGGAAGTTGAATGCTGAGCTGGACGCAAATCCAGGAATTCCTGATGTAATATCCTGCATAAGTAAAGGGTGACTAATTCAGTGCTGAATCAGGGTCAGCTATAAATTTCACTTTTTTAACCATAATGATTTACAGAGAATATTACACCTAAGTTTCCTTCAGTAGACATGATATTTTTATTTCTGATACTATATTCAGAAAGTATATACCCCAAACCAAACTCCTTAAAAATTCAAAATATTTCCAGGGCCTTTAGTCATGTTTAAAGTGAAAATACAACAAATCTGACTTTTCTGAAAAGTTAGAAACATTAGAAGCTGTGGACAACATTGTGCTTTCAGCACCCAAAAAACACCATTCCCCCTGCCCCATCCCTCAGCCATGAGAGGCCAGCTTCTTCCAGCAAACTAAGAGAAATAAGCCACGGCATTTTCGAAGACAGGGCCAAGAATACTTAGGTATACCAATGGTTAGAAGAATTGCTATCATGTGAGATACAGCAAAATTAATAATATTAATTAAACTGTATAGCAGTTTATGGTTTACAAAGTGCTTTTACATTTTTATTGCTTTTAAATATTTTTAATAACCCTAAGAGATACAGAATTATTCTTATTTTATAAGGTAGGAAACTGTATAGCTTCAGTAAAAGAATTTCCTAAAATATGAGATTTTTATATTGTAGGAGAGACCTAATTATTTATTTTTGGATTGCTTTCTGTAGATTCATTTGTCAGTCAATGTTTAGCTAATACATCAATATAATGGATGACTAGTACAGAAACACTCCCTTGGAAGTAAGTTCAAATTTCATCACTGGCTTGCAGAGAAAAATTTATCAGGAGGCATAAAAGACAACTAAATAGCTGTGTGAACTAAGGGACTAGTTCAAGTCTGAACTTATGAGGTTCATAAGCAAATTCCAGAATGCTAGAAGTCACATCAAGGTTGAAGGGGAATTTAAAACAAGAACTATTAAGTACTCCTGAGTATTAGAACTCCACATTATTAAAAATGTGTTCATTCTACCACAGTCAGAGACAGAAAAAATACTCTAAGAACACACAATGTAATCCAACAACTCCCCCCAGCATATCCCTCCTTTCCAGTCTCCTGGAATTTACAAATGAGTAGCACCCTAGAAATAATGAAGGCCTGCCAAGAAGCAAACGGTCTGTTCTTATAGCCTCCGGCTCTGATAGTATCTGATAATAAACCTGGTTTTACTCATATTACACTATGCAAAGTTGCCTTATATCAGGCAACCTTTGTAATAATTTGGAGGGCGTTATTTTAGGCTAAGTGTATTCACCTAATATAATACACTCTCGAATACTGATGTTCCATAATTAAAAACGTGTTCCTTTCCCTTAAGTATCCTTGTTCCTGTTAAAATGGAAAAAAAACTACTACCAACACTATCCCAGGAAAGAAAAGAAAATTTCTCTCATGAATGACCTGCTAATTGCCAAAGTCAATGGATTCTTCTCAGTAATTACGTACCTTACTTGGTATCTTAGATACTCCTCCTCACTTGGAAATGTTTTCCCCCTTTTAGTTTCCAGGATATCTAGTTCTGCTTCTTGTCCTGTCTCTCTGACCACTCCCTCACTGAACCTTCCAGACTCCTTATCAGCCACCCATTCCTGAGACATTTTCATGCCTTCATGATTCCACCCTTAGTTTACTTCTCATCCTATATAGTTTCTTTTAGTGATCTCACTCGTGCCTAAGAAACTATGACTATGTAATAAAATATTTCATTTTAAATGAACATGTATATGTGTATATATGGCGAGATGTAATACATGCAACATACTCAAAGTCTGAACTCATTTACTTCCCCCACACCTATTCCCAAACCTGCTCCTCCTGCTATATGATGGATTTACCATTCTTAAAGTCACCCAAATCAGATTTAGGAACCATCCCTGACCTTGGAGAACTAGGCATTCCCCACTTCAGCTTTCTGATAATCTATTCCATACATATAGCACTTAACACATTGTTTATCAGTCTTTCTATTAACCTGTGAGGATCTTAGGAGTTCAGAGTAGGCTAAGGAAAAAAAGGTACTAATAGTTAACATTTCTATTGAGTACTTACAATGTACCTGGCATGTTTATAAGAATAAATTATAAACATGCACCCCTACCAGGGACTGAACCCACAACCTAGGTATGTGCCCTGACCAGGAATTGAACCAGTGACCTTTCTGTGCATGGAATGACACTCAACCAACTGAGCCACACCAGCCAGGGCTCATAATTACTTTTAAGTTTAGGTAAACTAGAATATTTACTTACTAGGTAATAGCTCTTTATCGGCAGTCTCTGTGCAGCTGGGATAAGGGTGAAATAGATGGCCTTTCTCTAATGGGTATGGAATCATTCTAAAAGCTGAGAAAAAAAATGCATATTATGATTTTCAGTTCAGCCTCATTTTCATCTTATACTACCTATCAAAGCTATTTTTAAAATGTTTTAATAACATTGTCACATAACATTTTCTTTTTTAGAGACACATTTTTGATGAAAGAAACAAGATAAGCAAAAGAATGAAAAAAAGGAAGAATAAAGTTTATTTAGAGAATAGTGAATGATCGGGCTGGAATAAAGCTAAAGGGAGCTAATGAACAAACTGAACTAACAAGCAAAACAGAGACAGACTCATGGCTAGAGAGCAGAGTGACAGCTCAGGGGGGC